CTAGTATATATGAAGGGAGAAGCCTAAATAGGTGAAGGATTTCAAAATGTCAAAAACTACCCCTTTATTTCTTTCACAATCAAAACCCAAAAAAATAAAAAAAGTGAGGACAAACTGGTAAAAAACCATAACTTAAAAAGAGATGAGCATCACAACCATGAGTTTTGCCAAATGAAGAATGAGAACCGCGATGTGGGTGTGAACACGGAAAATTCCTGAAACGAAAGAGACAAGAACAACGCGCACAAACAAATATTATGTATTTTTGATGATTTTGGGTTACAATCTCTCTCTAATTTGATCCTCTGATTCGATCTCCGTAAGGTGTGTATTTGTGGATGTGTGATTGATCCAAAGGGCCGTTGGGCTTGATCTAAGGATGAACGTTCTTCAAGGGCCGTGGACTTGATCTTGAAGGTGGATTTGAGCGGATCTTCAAAGGGGCTTTTGGGCTTGATCTTTGAAGAATAGTGACGAACGGATCTCCAAGGGCTTTTGGGCTTGATCTTGAAGAACAGTGATGAACGGATCTTCAAAGGCTTTTGGGCTTGATCTTGAAGAACGGTTGGATGTGTGGATTTGTCGACGTTGTTGATCCAAAGGGCCGTTGGGGCTTGATCTTGGATGAACGGATGATGAACGAAGAACGAAGAACACTTTCTTCAAGGGCCGTCGGGGCTTGATCTTGAATTGGTGGATGGTTGATCCAAGGGCCGTCGGGGCTTGATCTTGGAAAAACGATGAACGAAGAACGAAGAACACTTTCTTCAAGGGCCGTCGGGGCTTGATCTTGAATTGGTGGATGATTGTTGATCCAAAGGGCCGTTGGGGCTTGATCTTGGAAGAACGATGAACGAAGAACGAAGAACGCTTTCTTCAAGGGCCGTCGGGGCTTGATCTTGAAGGTGGATGATTGTTGATCCAAGGGCCGTCGGGGCTTGATCTTGGAAGAACGATGAACGAAGAACGAAGAACATTTTCTTGATTCTTCGGGAACCTGGATGCTTGAGAGCTTCGGAGTTTCAGAGCTTCAGAGCTTTAAGGTGTAATATGAATTGGTCCCCTTAAAATGAATGAAATAGGCTTGTATTTATAGAATTTTCCAAGGCCTAATTTTGAATATAATATCCCAGATGAAATAAGTCGTTTCTGCCAGGTGTTGACACGTGTCCTATTTGATGACTTTTCCAACTCATTTCAATTTTCGTTGAGTCACACGCTACGTGTAAAATTTATGTAATACATGAGCGTTGACACTTTGATTTACCGGTCAACATTTATTTACGAAATTTCGATGTCTACAAATGCCCCCACTTCAAGGCACGTCGTATACATGTGCTTGTCACGTGTAGGAGATGCGTTTTGAAGTCCCTTACTGTAGATGTCGATCCAAGGGCCATCGAGGCTTGATCTTGAATTGGGCTGGAGATTGTTTCAAGGGCCGTTGAGGCTTGATCTTGAATTGGGCTTGAGATTTCTTCAAGGGCCGTTGAGGCTTGTTCTTGAACTTTTGTTTGAAATTTCTTCAAGGGCCGTCGAGGCTTGATCTTGAAGGTTGAAATTGGACCACAAGGAGCTTCATGTGGTAGATGATCTTTGGCTTTGGTAGTGGGTGAATCGGCACGTATTTTGTTGCGCTTGTTGACTTTCCACAGCTTTGATCTTGAACTGGGTTGAAGGATTTTCTGGATTCCTTCAATTGTTGATTTTCCACAACTTATTCTTGAACTAGGTTTTGATTCAATGGTGGTAGACACTTAATCTTGAATCGGACTTGTGATTTCTTCCAGGGCCGTCGAGGCTTGATTTTGAATTCGGCTGGAAGCTTCTTCAAGGGCCGTTGGGGCTTGATTCTTGAAGGCTGACTCGAACACATGGCAAGCAGGCACGAGGTAAAGGTTGATGGGCTTTTATTCCAGTTGGTGACTTGATCTTTAAGGATTTGATTCAAGGGTGGTGAATCAGCACGTGCAGCCCACAACGCCTAGTAAGTCAACCCAAGAATTTGAGGGTCAAAACGAGTTCACCGTCCTCAGGCAGATGCGGCATCTTCTCGAGTTCTTCATCTCAGACTCTTTCTGCTGAGTTGACTGTGCATGCTGCATTCTTCTCTGCTTGTTTCTTCAGGCAGATGTGGCAGCTTCTTGAGTTCCTCAGTTCGGACTCCTTCTGCTGAGTTGACCGTGCAGACCGCATTCTTCTCTGCTTGTTCCTTTTGCACCTTGTCTCCACATGTTGCAAGGTATCATTTTCACTTGTCTTATCTGTCCTCCAGGCAGATGTGGCAGCTTCTTTGAAAGTACAGCAGCAGTGGAAGGCGAGTACTCGAGAGCAGTGCTAGGTAGGCAATCAGGGAAGGGTTCCAAGCAGTCGGTTCCTTACCCGAGTTTGAGTGGAAGTTCCGGCATATTGTTTTCTTTATCCTTGTCTTTGTAGGTAAGAACAAGGACAAAGGAAATGATAGGGAGAACGCATGATATGAGATACTCTTGCTTTCTACCCTGGTGATATGAGATACTTTTGCTTTTGGAGTCATTGGCTTGCAGAGGTACCCCAAGGAATAAGGAACACTGAATGACTCGAGAGGTTTCGTTGGGAAAGCATTTTTGGAGATGAAGAAATGCTCTGTATGTCTGTCTTGCTACGGAAGGTGAAGGTGGACAGTTATAGGAGGTCCCTTAATACCTGTAGAGGTACTATTCTTTCACTTGTGTCGGCAACTAACACGTGATTGAACAGTAAACTTTCACGTGCTTTCTCCTTCACCGAAAATCTTCGACAAATTGCCCGTGATTTGCGCAAAGTTGAGTGTGCATATGACAGGTGATGACGCGGCTGAAAAAGACTGGCGCCTCTTCGATATCTGGGATCGGCGCTTCGACAAATTGCCCGTGATTTTCGCAAAGCTGAGTTTGCGTGTGACGGGTGCCGACGCGTCTGGAAAAGCAAGATGCTTCTCTTCGATATCTGGGATCGGCGCTTCGACAAATTGCCCGTGATTTCCGCAAAGCTGAGTTTGCGTGTGACGGGTGCCGACGCGTCTGGAAAAGCAAGATGCTTTTCCGATTTCTGAGCTTGCCTCTTCGATTTTTGAATGGCCTCTTCGAATTCTGAGCTCGCCTCTTCGATCTCTGAAATCTCGTCGAGTGCTGATTTTTTATAGAGGCATGCAGTTCGTTTCAAAGCACACTTGAATTTTCGCTTGTGAAAACTCCCCTCTTGTACTTCTAAGATCTTGATTTGTCCGATCTCTTCTTCCTTCAACACTTTGAAAATGTCTGGACCCTCCGACCGTCGTTTTGACTTGAATCTTGGTGAAGAGGCAGTCCCGCCTTCTCCAGACAACATATGGCGCCCATCCTTCATATCCCCCACTGGTCCTCTTACCGTTGGGGATTCGGTGGTGAAGAATGATATGACCGCTGCGGTGGTGGCCCGAAACCTTGTCACTCCCAGAGATAACAGACTACTTTCCAAACGGTCTGATGAGTTGGCTGTTAAGGATTCTTTGGCTCTCAGTGTGCAGTGTGCAGGTTCTGTGTCTAATATGGCCCAACGCCTATTTGCTCGAACCCGTCAAGTTGAATCATTGGCGGCGGAAGTGATGAGTCTCAAACAGGAGATTAGAGGGCTCAAGCAGGAGAATAAACAGTTGCATAAGCTCGCACATAGCTATGCGACAAACATGAAGAGGAAGATTGACCAGATGCAAGAATCTGATGGTCAGATTTTACTTGATCATCAGAGGTTTGTGGGTTTGTTCCAGCAGCATTTGCCTTCGTCTTCTGGGGCTATACCGCGTAATGAAGCTCCAAATGATCAACCTTTGGCTCCTCTTCTTCCTGGAGTTCCGCTGAGTGGTATGGCTTCAAACAGTCAACCTCTGGCGCCTCTTCTTCCTGGAACTCTGCAGAGTGGTGAGGCGCCACCTGATCGTCTTTGAAGATCCCCTCTTGTAAATTTGATTTGATTTGATTTTTTTTTTTTAAGGTATGTATAATGTAAAATTTCTAAAAAAAATAAAAATGGACTTTATTTCTCTCAATGCATTTGTTTTTTTTTTTTTTTTTTTTTGAGTATGTATATTGCAAATTTATGTAAAATTTTCAAAAATAAAATAAAATTTATTTCTCTCAATGCTTTTTTTTATATATAATTATTTTTTTTTTAATTTTTTAATTTATTTATTTTTTTCTTCGGTGCTGGGTGCACCCACCATTTCTTTTTCTTTTGTCACATGGTGCCAGATGCACCATCATCATTTTTTTTTTTTTTTTTATTATATGGGCACCATCAGAAACTTTTGATCCACCATCCTCTTTTTTCCTCCTGTGTCGTGCATCCAGCAAGCTTTCATCATTATCTTTTTTTTTTTTTTTTTTTTTTTCACGTGGTGCCAGCACCACTTTGCTCCACCATCCATTTTTTTTTCATATTTTTTTTTGTATAAATTTGGGTGATGGGTAGAGGATTTTGCAGGCAGCGGAGTAAGGAAGGACGGAGACGGACGGAGAGCTGCAGTCGAGGCTTCATGATCGGCTAGTCGTTTGACGGCGATTATTGAAGTTTTTCGCCGTTGCTGTTTGCCACTGCCACTACACAACCATTGCACCGCCACTACATTCTTGTTGCCTTGCACCGCCGCCATTGCACAGCCACTGCATTTTTTTTTTTTTTGCAGAGCAAAAGACGGAGCAGCGGAGTTTGAAGCCCGAGGACGCAAGAGACGGAGGAGCTTGGAGCTGCTCGTTGGGGCAGAAGCTGAACTGCTGCTGCTGTCGTCCTTGTTGCTTGAAGACGGTGAGGACCTGGGAGAGCCGGAGTTGAGCTTGGAGGGAGGCGCAAAGCAGTGCAGGTGTTGTTTGTCGTCGAGGTGGTAGACTTCCATGATGGCAGAGTTTTGTGGAAGTTTGTTTACTTGAGGTTTCGCTGGAATAATGTTTCAGGAGGTGGAGCGGAGTGGAGGACTGTAAAAGCCTCCATTGAGGGCAAGGACAGCGATGAAGGTCCTGGTGCTGGAAGAAGTTGCTGCTGTCGCTGTTTGTGAAGAGAGATATTGGAGAGGAAACGCACGTGACCAGGGAGGAAAATGACTTGCTTGCTGCCTGCAGCAGATCCCAGATGGACAGCGGCGACTGAGTGTTTGGGCTTCCGTGGCTCGAGCGGAGGATGCAGAGCTGGTGGCGACCGAGACTAATGACTCGTGATGCTGGCCCAGGAGCTCTTGGACGTCGGCTTCCCTATGTTGGAGAGGATGATCCAATATGTTGCTGTGTCATGCAGAGGAAAAGATGACGAGATGGCGCTGTATCATGCGATGCCGATCCAGCAGATCCCGCCTTCTCATCACCATCACCACAGTATGGTGCTCGAGAGCACTATGGACTCCTCTAACACTATAAATTTCTCGTATTCGGCTGCGACGTCGTTTATGTCGTCGTTGACCGGCGACTCCGATAGCAAGCAACCAATGTCGTCTTCGGCTTTTCAAATTACCAATTTATCCCAGGTTTCCTCAGCCGGAAAGCCGCTGCTTTCCTCCACCTCGCTGAAGCGGAAGTGCAGCTCCGAGAACTTGGGCTCTGGGAAGTACAGTGCTGGATCGTCCGGCCGCTGCCATTGCTCCAAGAAGAGAAAGCTGAGACAGAAGAGGGTTGAGTTCCAGCTATAAGCTTGAAGATGGCGGATGAGGCTGCTAAACACGCAGTGGCTTGTAGAACGACGGGTTGCTGTATTTCCATGCTGCATTGCTCCTGCTGCAGACGTGATAAGCTGCAAAGACAACGCTCACCATCGGATACGTTGCTCGCTGCACGGAATGATCTTCGTTGTGATGGTGGAGGAGCAGCAGGCATGCTTAGATGGTGTTCTCCAGCGTCGTCGGAAAGAAGAGTTCTGGCAATGGCATGGGACACATCAAACATTTGCCTCTACTGGTCCTGGAGTTGGACTAGTTGACCAGGCGGTTGAGACTGTTATCTTCGTTCAAGATCGCACTCAAGTCACGCTGCCCTGCAAGAGTCTGGAGACGACGGAGCTGCTGAAGTAGGAAGTTCATGCATGTATCAAAATCAGGGGCAGGCAACCGAGACATGTTTGATGTCGTAAACTTATCCTTGGTCACGAGCACTTTTTATTGAGACTGGGGGCTCTTCCACTCTCCCTCTGGATAATAGGTCACGGTTTAAGAATAAAACAATGACAGTTATATCATCGTGAAAATGGCGTCGGACCTTCTTGTCAATTTTCTGAAGATCTGAATATCGCATCTCTCTTTTTCTTGCAGCTTCTTGGAGAGCCGTCTTAACAAGCCGCTTGGCGCTTCCCGCATGTGGATGATTGTGGACAATTTCAACAGCTTGTTCATTACTCAAGTGTTCCCATAGACCATCAGAAGCAAATATAAGAAAAGAATCATTTGGATGGAGAGGATGAGAAAGAATGGTTGGTTCGGCAGACAAGGTAGGCATGGTCATTGGTTCGGGAAGTCTGAATTTCGCACTAACCGGCTCCCTGTTAAACCTTGCATGTTTCATATGTGCGTCACCTATAGATTTAGATACCTGGATAATGCCTTTTACTCTCCAAACTCCATGCTTTAAAACGACAATTTGAGGATCATGTGGGTGCAAATCTTTCAGTTCATGCCTAACCTCCTCGAGATTTGCATTGTGTTCAGTGGATAACTAGATCGCAGCAACTTCCCCAGTGTTGCCCACTTTCTTTCCCAACACACAACGGGAATCTCCCAGGTTTGCCACAAATAGGGTCCCCAGAGATATAACTCCAACCAGACAGCATGACCCAACAGTTGCTACTGGGGGTCTAGTACCCCACAGCTTCGAAACAAGGGCGGTAAACCCTTCCTCCGTTCGGAGAAAAGCATTTTGAATGGTCTCCGCTGTCACAACACCTTTGGACTCCGCTGATATTGCTTGGAAATGTTTGAATAAATTGTCGCAAACGTATCGAGCGGTCTCTGGTCCACCGTGTCCGTCGTATACGCCGACGAAGGTCCCAAAGGGTCCCGACTCGATCTGGCTCTGATCCTCGAGCACCTGATTGGCCTGGACCACCGCCATAGAGAAATCGCCCCACGCATACTTTCCAAAATCTCGGAACCAAAGCAAGTTATCTTTGCCATCTCGCCCTCCTCCGCCGTCTCCGTTATTCGCAGCGCCGACGATTCCAACAGAGCTGAGTCCCTCACCGTCGCCGCGCCAAAATGGCCTCCAGCAAAGAGAGAGCAGATTCATCAATGCCTAAAGCATCCCACATCTCTCAAAAACCCTAACCCCAAAACCCAAAGACCCTTAAGGACTCCGAATTTGGGGGAAGAGGCTGGGAGAAGAAGCCTAGGAGGAAGAGCAAGAGTTCTGCCTGGAGATAGCTATGGGGTTTGTGAAGTAGGAGGCGAGTGATTGGAAGGATGAAGATTTGGATTGGAGCTTTGAGAGCCGGGCCTAAGCTTGTTGGGCTCACGGTTTGGGTCTGAGGAGACGGGCCTGATTTTGTGGCTGGGCTCAGACATGTATATATATATATATATATATATATTTTTTTTTAGATAACATATGTTTTTTTTTTTCTTTCAAAGAAACTGTAATTTAATTTTGTACAAAGAAAACTGCCAAGTAATCTTGTAATAAAATTGACCTTCACCAATGAGAGTGCTAGCATTTTTTGATCTTGTTCAATGCTCACGCTGATATGTTGAGTGCTAGCATTTTTTGCTTGGCTTGAAATCTTCACGGGTGCATTTGGTGTGAAGCCAAGTCCAGCTTTGTTGTTGTTAACTCCGTAACCATGCTTCTTCAACTTCTTTTGAGTCTCGGTAAGGTCACGTTCTTTATTGTTGACGGTGTTTGAAACCTTTTTCTCAGGATTCGAAGAAGAAGCGAAGTCGTACCCAGCTTTTGACATGAGTTTGTAGGCGTTCAGATCAAAACCTTCTTCGGTCCTCTTGGTTGGGAGAAAACTTGGTTCCGCCCTCTTTGGTAGAGCTTTTACGAAGCCTTGTGGTAATCTTGCAAACTTAGCGTTGCTTAGCTGTGTCAGAGGTAGAACTGCATTCGTCTTGAGCAACTTTACATTATCCATGTACCGCTGTGCATCGGCATTGCTTGCTTCAGTTTCGAATGTGGATTGACCATTCTTTCTTCTTGACATCGGGATGTATCGGAAAACGGGTGTGTTTGATCCATTTGAGGGCATCCTACTCCCTTTGGTTGTTGTAGGTTTAGCAAGCTCATCATCGTTCTTGTTTGAAGACAGCATGACTTCTCCTTCTTGCTTCTTGGGCATGGCTTGCCACTCCTGTTTTTTAGGTGTTGTTTTACCCATGGTTTTGATCTCTTTTGGAAGAGCTTCAGGCACCATGTCTTCATCCATGTAGAACTTGGCGTCTGCAAAATGTGATTCGGCTTCGGTGAATGGTTTAGTGTCGCCATAGATCACCTTCACTCTTTCTCGGTAGAATTTTAAGCATTGGTGAAGGGTGGACGGTACTACTCCATTCGCATGGATCCAAGGCCTTCCTAAGAGCAAGCCGTAGGAAGTTCTTGCATCAATCACGTGGAATATCGTGCTTGACTTGAGTTCACCAATAGTCATCTCCACTCGGATCATGCTCATCGCTCTTTGTCCTCCTTGATTAAAACCTTGGATTAGTAGACAACTTAGGGACAGTTCATCTGCCTTGATGCCGATTGTATTCATTGTTGACTTTGGCATGATGTTGATGGCTGATCCACCGTCCACAAGCATGCGGTTGACCTTGTGCTCCCTTACGTACCCAGAGACGAAGAAAGGACGGTTGTGAGGCTTGGATCCTAGCAGTAAGTCTTCGTCGGTGAAGTGGATTGCGTCCTCGATGGCATAGCATGTGGCACATTCATGTGGCCGAAGCTTCAAGCCTTCATCTTTGCCTTCTTACACTTCGTGGTCATTGGGACTTTCCAAGACCGCTGCTAATGCTCTTTGCATCTTATTTGGCAATCGTAGCGTTTCCTCAATGCTAAAGTGTGTTGGCAGACCTTCTTCGAGCGTGAGAGTTTTTTCTCCCTCAATGGTGATATCTTTACCTTTTGAAGGTTCTTCCATTTCTACTTCGACCATGTGGCATGCAGCGATAATGCACTGCTAGAAGAAGTCATTCGGGAAGTACTCGTGCAAGGAGATATGAATGCGTGGCTCTTGCTCCATAGGTTCCCCAACATACGTTGGCTTATCAACTTTTACGTTTCTTTTGGGCTTCCTACTGTTGCGGCGACGGTGCTTTCTCACTTGTTCCACCTTTGGTCTTGTGGCTTGTGGTTTTGGTTTCCTTGTTTTTTTGTAGGTCACCAATGTCCATCCTTCTTTATCCTCGGTATATGCATCATGTTCGTTTACCCCCGGCGATGGTTGTGCAGAAGGTATCGTGCAACTTGAGCATTGATAGGAATGGTCAGGTGTTGTTTGGAGAGGTACGGGATCGAAAGATCCAAATGCAATTGTAGTAGTATGTGTTGCGGCCGTGTCTTTGAGGTCGAGCTTGATTCACCCTTGTTGTGCTAGCTTCATGATGAGCTCTTTGAGGACGAAACACTTACCCACAGGATGGCTCACGATTCAATGATACTTACAGTATTTAGGATAGTTTATGCGATTCATTTCTTCAGGCCGCTTGCATTCAGGTAGCTCGATTACCTTCTATTCTAGCAGTCGTCTAACATTGCATCCATGTCTGAGTCAGGAAAAGGGTACGCCTTCTGCTCCAATTCCCTCAAGGTGTTTTTGTACTTTTCTTGGGTGCGAGGAGGCTCACCTCTCTTTATCTCCTTTGCTTTGGTTTTGGAGGAGATCTTGATAGGCGCGGAGGCGGTTTTGACGGGCGCAGATGGTGAACGCTTCCTTGGGGGGCTTATTCCCAGTCTTGTCTACATTTGAGGAGAACACCTTATCTTTCTTGAAGTCGGTGATCGGCTCTTTCTTCCCGTGATGGGCAATACTTAGCTCCATGTCGTGGGCACGGGTGGCTAACTCTTCAAATGTCCGTGGTTTAATGCCTTGAAGGATATAGTGTAACCCCCATTGCATGCCTTGGACGCACATCTCGATCGAAGAGATCTCCGAGAGTCTGTCATTGCAATCGAGGCTTAGATTGCGCCATCGGTTGATGTAGTCCACGACTGGCTCATCCCTCCATTGCTTTGTGCTTGTCAGCTCTAGCATGCTCACAGTGCGGCGGGTGCTGTAGAAGCGGTTGAGGAATTCCTTTTCCAATTGCTCCCAACTGTTGATGGACTCAGGCTCTAAGTTCGTGTACCACTCAAAGGCATTTCCTTTCAGCGAGCGTACAAACTGCTTAGCGAGGTAATCTCCTTCTGTCCTCGCGTTGTTGCAAGTCTCAATGAAATGTGCGACGTGTTGCTTCGGGTTTCCCTTTCCATCGAACTGCATGAACTTTGGTGGCTGATAACCCCTTGGCATCTTCAACGCGTCAATTTTCTTGAAGTAGGGTTTTGAGTATAGTACGGAGTCATGTGAACTTCCTTCGTACTGTGCCTTAATGGTGCTGGCGATCATCTCTTGCAGTTGTTGGATAGAAAGAGATCCCATGAGTGCCTCTGCTTGGCCTAGCTCCGGCTTCACATCGATTTTCTCCACCAGAAGCTTTTCATCCTCGTC